CTGGAGGAGTGTGAATGGTGGTTCTCCAAAATGGATTTCCACGCTGGAGGTTAAAATCCCATTACAAAATGGACGGGGTAGTACTCACCAACACAACTAAACGTAAGGTACAAGAAAAAGGGGTACTACTCCATAAACTGGTGCTTGGGGCGTTAACGAAAAAACGCCTGCACACAACCGAAACTACAGCAGAAACTTAAATGGCGCACGCAACCCCCTAAAAAGAAGGTTAAATAAGTTGCCCTGAAGAAAACAAGTTCGACAGAACATCAAAAGGAACAGATAAAAGCCGGCAAAGAAGGTATCTTGATAGAAAGGTAATCATTCATATATGGCTAGTACGTATAAACATCATAATATGGCGCGCTGGTTGCCGATGGGCAGATTGTAGGCAGAAACAAATCTGTCCTCGAGGGACCAACAATGTTTTATAAGAAAATTTCTCAGATAGAAGAAAGATTTCAATACAATATTGAGTCGCTGAGAATGACAGATATAATACGTGAGAAATTCTACAGTCAATGAACTATGGAATTTGACAAAAGAAAACCATTAAAAAGGGTTTGGTCTAAGAAGTGGGCACTCTATAATCAATAAAGAGTGATCATATGTGATCAAAACGGTAAAAAGGAAGGTTACGTGATTTTAGGACGTGACAGAGGAAGTCAGCCACGCATCTGCAATGCTTCTCAAGGAGATCGTCGGATGGAAAGTCGCATAAAGCATTATGCCACAACTGATCGGAAGCCTTCGTCATATAAAGAGCAGTAGTTATATGATACGACTGAATGCGTCCTCGTTTAAACAAATTGATCTCTGGAGAACACCTGCGTTGAAACTGTGAATTGAGGAGCATCTAAAGTTGATCCCTTTTTTGGGATAAGTCGGTCTCAAAACTGCTTCCGCACTGGGAACAAGATCTTCTCCGAATAGGAATTTTTAAAATAACATTCGGAACGAGAACGTGTTCGTTAATGACGGGTGGTGAAAATTGACGAGGCACTGTTCATTGTTTTTGCAATTTCTCATAGCCAGCTAATCCTGAAAAATGTGTGTCAAACGAGGAAATAACTATAGCCGCAGCCAGTAGCAATAGCGTTCTGTCGCAGCTGCGGTGAAAAAAGTCCCTGTAGATTAATTTTGCCAGCCTAATTAGTCCGTATTTCATTTTGAGCTATTTTTCGCATTTTCCCTTTTTGCAGTTGCCACATTTTGACCAGAGGCATACCTGCAGTGAAGTTTCATATGGGGGTTGGATAAGTGGATATTAGGTTATTCAGACTGATTTGGATGTTTCGAGGATGCCACATTCTTTTATTGTTTCGAAAAACTTATTATTTTTTGAGAACATGAATATCTACCCGGTGGCATGTTTCTCATATTCGCCATGAATGTGTACTTATTTCCTGTATAACTCATTTGGAGAAATAATAAAAGCACGGCATAAATTAGCTGAGAATGCAAACCAACTACATCTATTTACTTTGAGTGGTATCAGGAGATACACACTTTTGTAATACCAATATTCCTGAGAGGATGTCTCATTTTAGAAGGCTAAAATTAACGCGGTCAAATATTTGTGAAAGTCACCCTTGCCTTATAAAATATACACATATTTTTGTTTTACTCAGTAAGAACATGTTTCACACAAATTACACTGAAGTTGTTATTGAAACAAATACAGTAGAATCTCTATTATCCTAAATAATGTGCTTTCGGATAATCGAAATTTCCGATAAAACGGAAATAAATATTTAGACTCCTAATGCTTCTATTGAAAAAAGTAAATGCGTGTGTTAAGTGAGTATATACCTATATAAAGTTACGTAAAATATGACCATGTGGATACAAACATACACATTTACGAGTATTTAGTAACAAAGGAAGTAATTTTCAACTGTAGACGCTTTGCATTGTTCCTATATTTAGCAGCAATATCCCTCGAACGTTTGATAAGTAGCACATCAGCTGCTGTCTCATTTTATTGTTGTTCAACGTAAGTCGACGCCTTTTGTAGAGCTTCTAATCCCTCAGAATGTGATATTTTGGCAGAGATTTCTGTCTCATTGTTACTAGCATAACTTAAAACTGTCTCATCGTCATTGTTACAAACAGTTTTTATTAGTTCTGTATCAGTTAGTTCTTCCACCAATTCATCACCATTAATCCACTCACCAATATCTGCTTGGGTCAGATTTTCACACCCTGCTATATTTACGACGAGCTCATGTAAATTTTCGTTGTTATTCTCATAGTCTCCGAAAGGTTCCATTTGTTCATTAATTATTGTCGACCAAGATTTTTGTAAAGTAGAATTTTTTACTTGGTTCCATGCTTCTGCTATCAAATCTGCCGCATTCTAGAGGTTAATCTCTTTTAAACAATCAACGAGGTTATAACCATTATCAACTCGATCTAAAATATAGCGGCATCGCTCCAGGCATTTTTTTGATTTTTATACCACACTGGAAGAGCGTTGGGACGAACGTGTTTAAATGCTCTTGGTTTAGCTGATTTTCCCATTAATAACAAAGGAAGTTTGTGTGTACCGGAAGCAAGGATAGTCACACGTTCTTTACTGCGTTTGTAACCAGGAGCTCCAGATTCTTGTTCTGAAGCTAAGCTTATCGGCAGATAACTTCTCTCCGCAAAGTCTTAATTCTCACATACCGTGTCGTCTTTTCCATCTATGCAGTCCACCTTCAGTTAAGTTGACTGACTTTTGCTTTAGAATTGGTCCGGAAATTGGTATTCCACGTTCTCGATTCTGTATAAACCACAGATATAAAGCATCATTCACTTTTTGATGTTTCACCTTTTTCATAGTTTTGCCTGACGGCTGCGGTGATGTCAGAACACTAGACCACTTTTTCTCGCGTTGTTTTTTTTATTCTGAAATGGTACTCACGCCAACACCCAAATCACGTCTGAGCTTATAATTTAAAAAAATAATAATTTAGTTCTTTAATGAATGATATTAACTCTTAAATTCAGATTTTATGGGCAACAGCTTGATGGATTTTGGCATATGAGGTGTCTCTATACTTGTCTTGAGAGTGAGAGTGTCATTGGATATAACGAAATTTGACAACATCAAGGTGGTGGACCTTAATCGAAATGTGAACCTTGAAATTCCTATTCCACAAGCTACAGTTTGAACGGCTTGACGGATTCTGACATACAAAATGTCTCAATACTTGTCTTGATAGTGCTAGTTTAGCTGGGTATGCTAAAATTTTGGCAGATTTCAAACGCAAACTTCAACTTTGAATTTTCTATTTCACGGGCTACAGACCAAATAGTTTCATGAATTTTGATATTTGAGGTTGGTCTCGATAGGACAATTATTCTATTCTATTCAGTTACTGCAGGCAAGTTGTTTGTATTTTAAAAAATGGAATTGTTGCTTTTTCATACAGTTAACCAGAAAGGAGTTTCTGGGTAGGAAAATGAAAATAATAATTTTTGTTGGCTTTACTTTATCGCGTTGTACCACTTCGATTGTGAAGATGGATTTTTTGTGAAAGATTTTCATGTTTTCACCGATTTTTGCTAGTTTTATTTCAAGAAAGATCTCAATCACTGGTTCATGTTAAACAGTCCAAGATACTTGAGGTATTATATAACTTTGGCGCAATATAGTTCAATAATTAAACAGGACATGTCTTGTTTTTAGATTGGGTTGAAAAATACCGTGTAGGTAACACTTTTTCACCTTTTCGTTTTTGAAGATTTGGCCAGATATCCTGTCTATTTTTTCACAAAATGGAACAAAAACACAATATTCTTATTATGGAGAAAATAAGACTAGCAGTGACTTCCTCTCTGACGAGAGACTTGGAATTGTCACTACTTGGTACGCAACAATCTTGTACAGTTTAATGCTCCCAAAACACAGTATGTACTCTACCTTGACCTCAGAGCTCTCCTCCATGTTGCTACCGAGTGATGTACCTACCAGAGAGACCTAGGGCAGATTCAGGATTTCGCCTAGGGGGGAGGGGATCGCAAACGATATTTGGGGCTGGTCATTTTTTAGCCTCAGTTTAACTTCTAGAATTTATCCTATTATTGGTCCTTAAATCCATTGTTTTTTATCTGGTCAAGGCCAGCTTGAAAAAAAAACATGGAAATTGCTCAGAAATCCTCAGGAAGAAAATATTTTATTATATGAGAACAAAATAAGTACGTGGCATTTATAATTAACTAGTGTAATAATATTAAAGATTCAAAAATAAAAAACTTCATTGCTCTGTTAACCGACAAAAAATAAATAAAACATTCTAAGGGACCCCGAGACATATTCCAGTCCATTTCACACAAAATAATGTCTTTGACTGCGAAGACGAATATGAGACCAAAAAATTCACATTCTCGTATGGACTGCTAAAACATCTATAGATCGTGTCTTGATACCGTCTCCAGACTGCCTATAGACAAATTGCCCAACGGGGTCTTCTAGTATGTAATAAGCCTAAGGGCTCTTGCACACGAACGTGCAATCCGCCGACCGGCTGTTCCACCGACCGGCAAGAAAATCGGAAGATGTTATTTTACCCACATTCGAATACAACTTAACACACTTGCCGGTACCGGCTATTCTGCCGACCGGCCGCCGTTCATATTAAAATTTGGACGGCGAACACACGGCTGCCGGTCGGTAAATTAACCGGCGCGTTCATTTCAATGCATGCAAGTCTATGCCTGTTGACACACGAACGGGGATTCTACTGTCGCCGTGGTACAGAGTCGTAGTTTCATTTCCGTTTAGACAGTGTAGTCATGAGGTGCGAAATGGAAAATTTAGATATTGAGGCATTTATTTCTATGGTGGAAGAAAGGCCGGTGATATGGGACAAGACAAGAGAGGATTTTAAGGATAGGAATAAAACTAAAGCCGCCTGGCAAGAAATCATCGATACATTTATTTATGAAAACCTGAACGAAGCAGAAAAAGCCGAAATAGGTATGTAACTATGTAAGATAAGAAACAATATTAACTATATTTTACTTAATTGCCACGGTACAGATCCTTCATTACTATTGAAATATTTTGTGAAATGGTCCCGTATATCTTTCCCGCTTCTTGATCCTCGCAAATTTCGCTCTCTTGGTATGTCTTCGAGGTTTATAATTTCTAAGACATCGCCGATATTAAAACCATCTCTCATTCGTACTAAATTATGCAAGATACAACATGCTTTAATCATGTCAATGGCGAATTCGGGATGTACGTTTATAGGTCGATGAAAGATTCTCCATTTGTTGCTAAAAATACCGAATCCACATTCAACATAACGCCTGGCACGTGATAAACGGTAATTAAATACACGTTGTTGCTGTGTTAAGTTGTTTCCACCAAATGGACGTAGCAATTTATCACTTAATCCAAAAGCCTCATCGCCAACTAAAATATATGGTACAGCCGGATTTTCTATTCCTGGTAAGCATTTTGGGCAAGGTGTATACAAAGAATCTGAATTCAATGCATGAAAAAATGTTGACTCTTTAAATACGGAGGAATCACATTCTTTACCGTATGCTCCAATGTCAACATATCGAAAACAGTATGATGTGTCCACAACAGCCAATAACACGATTGAAAAAAAATTTTTGTAGTTGTAAAATAATGAGCCACTTCGTTGTGGCTTCACAATTCGAATGTGTTTCCCATCTATCGCTCCGAAACAATTTGGAAAATTGGCATTATTAGCAAATCCTGCTTCACATTCATTCCACATCTTTTCTGATGGCGGTGGGATGCATTCATCAAGTAGGATTTCCCAAATTTCCCTGCATACATCCCTAACAATTTTACGTATTGTTGATGTTCCCAATCTGTATGCGTAGTGAAGGTCTGTGAAAGTCATACCGCTTGCCAAATACCTGCAACAAAATTAATTATTTCTTTTTTTTTTCAGCTAAAACACTATTGCAGAAATGGAACAACATTCGTGACAGTTTTGTGAAGAGTTATAAAAAAAATAAAAGCCTTAAGTCAGGTTCTGGTTTTAGGAGAATAAGAAAGTACATCTTTCACGATCAGTTGCAATTCCTTGCAAAAACAATCGAACACAATACTACAACATCCAGTATTTCACAAGAAAAAAATACAGAAACGATGGCGCAACAGAATGTAGATGATAGTAGCAATGAAGGCGATTCTCAAATTGATCAGGATATGATCAATTCCAATATATCCAATCCAAATGCATCAACCGCTAAACAAACGCCACCGCAAGCTTTACTTACAAAAAAGCGTGCCTCAGCACCAAAGAAACGTCAAGACGAGTTTGAAACCAAAGTGCTAAAGATCCTGGAAAAGCCGGACAGCATACCCACAATCAGTGAAGATAAATCTTTTTTTAATTCCATTTTGCCGATTGTAGAAAACTTTGATGAAGATGACAAACTTCAATTTCGCATAGAAGTTTTGCAGCTTGTGCAACGTTTTAAACGAAAGCAAAAATGTGATGCTTTCAACATGACTTCTGATACCAATAGATCGCTACCTTCGTTTGTACCACCAGCAACTCAGTCATGCAGCCAGCAGTGGACACCGACATACCATACATTGCAGTGTCCACAGACTTCAATACCACAATCTAGTACGTCATTTGATCCAACTACATCTCGCTATGACAATAATCTTGAATATCCACAATCTTCGATACCACAATAGTTTATCCAATCTGACTTAACTACAACCAGAATTTGATTTGTTTAATTTGTTCGTTATGTTCCTTATTTAAATATATCTAGTTCTAAAATCACATTTTAATTCTATTACTTACCTTATTGTAACTGCAAGCATCTCTGTGGGTGGTATCGCTTGTCTCATGTTTGTTTCTTGACGGGCTATATGTTTGTCCAAACGCTGTAGTAAATAATCAAATGTTGCAACAGACATCCTAAAGTAATTGAAAAATTTTGCTTCATGTTCTCGTAGTCTTGTAAACAAGGTATAAAATGCTCCTACTGCACTTCTTTCAGCTACCAGTGGATGAATCCATAATCTTCTTGCTAAAGCTTTCTTGTATTTTCTTCGTCTATACAATAAACACACAAGCGCGATCTTCTTTTCACGTTTCATTTTTGACAATGCACGAAACGAAAATAGCCAAGCTCTTTCTACGTCGGATGACAGTACAGCACTGGCCTTCATGCAGAAGGCAAAGTAAACGGCACGTAACCGGCCGATCGCTTATCGTGTGTAAGATAATCCCGATTTCTTTGCCGGGCGGAGAAACAACCGGTCGGCGGAATGATCGGTCGTGTGCAAGAGGCCTAAGGATGAAGACTTTGAACTGCCCATTAAACAAATCAAGTAAATGATGCAAATACTGACACAATCAAGCACTTCTATTATATCAGCAGTACGAGGCATGTATTCCTCCATTCCGACGTGGATAATTTCGGTTATCGAAGAACAGATAGCCGACGCATCCGCGTCAGTGAAACAGACATTTCTCCAAGAAAAGGTAGAGAAGAAGTCTCTGACCCCCTCCCAGTCCGCAAGTCCCTAATGCCAAATTTTGCGGCCTGTGCGAGTTTCTGCTGAAACAGCGGGTTCTGACTGAAACCTAACCTCCACAACACAGTGGTCTGAGTTACCCAGGGGTGACAGCACAGCAGAGCTGTAAGGGACAGGATGCGTCGTCAGAAAGAGATCCAGCAGAATACTGACATGTGACGAGACTCGAGGCAAAAAAAGTAGGAGCTGTCACTAGCTGGGTTAGCCCTTGAGTAAGAGCGAACGCTTTAACTGCACGACCTGCTGCATCGCTCTTGTTTGAGCCCAACCGAAGCAAATTATGGTCATTGAAATCACCAAGGTGAACTAACTCTGAAGCAGAGTGATTGATGTTCAGGAAGTCGATCTTGACGGCGAGGTATTCAAGAGGGTCATCCCAATTATGTTCCGAGGGGAGCGATAAAGGCAGCAAATAAATTTGGGGGATGTTTTGGAGTTGAGGCGAAGCCACAGAATGCCCTTCCGGTCTGATTCCAGAGAAACATCTCTGCAGCAGGAAAGACTGTCTTGGAAGATAACCGACTTCATAGCTTAGGTGTGGAAGCATGCGGACATTTATAAGACCCTGAGAAAAACTATAGGGTGGTACCGCCTCGGTCGACTGGTCCTTGTCTGCCACCTTCTTTTTGCATGTTCTGATATTAAATAGACCTAAAGTGGCCCGTTGGCGGACTTGTACCGCCACCCGGCAATCGGTACTGAGGTATTCCTTAACGCGTGTACAATCACTTGTACGGGAAGAAGTTGTATGCTGGATACAACAACTTCCGGAACAAGCATCAGCCACGGCCCCGCTCAGTACGGGTTGGGGTTTTTGAAATTCAATATAGATGTTACAGTTATTTTTCAGACTTTCGTTGTCGACCTTTGATTTACGGCATAGTTTTTTTCTGTTTTCGAACCGGTGTTGATCGCATGTAGAAATGTTGGAAATCCCTGCGAAAAACTATATCTGTTAGATCGTAATTATTTTGATAATGTATGTTTGAACTAAACAAGTACAGGAATTCAGGGCTCTACATATTCACGTATAGTGCAGCAGCTCTGTGATTTAAGCGAGTTCAATATAGCAACATAAATAGACACATATGCGAGAAGAGTCGCGGGACGTGTGGTATTGATTTTGAGCATCGATTGGCGCAATTTGTAGACAGGCCACAGGCGCACCACTAGACAAATCTCATAAATGCCTATTTCCAATTTAGGCATTCATCTAACATAGTGCTTCGCTGCAACACCAACCCCGAACAAAATCAGTCAAGCTTTACACACTTTTCAAATTACTATTGAGCAACAAACAGAACACTTTTTAAGTGCAATCTGTATAGCTAATATATCACCCAGACAAGTCACAATACTCGTATACATCGTATACAGAGTTGTGCTGTAAACAAGTGATGTCAAAGAGGGACATGATTTTGAATACCAAAGGATACCAAAACATCATAATACTCAGTTCCTATAGCTATAGCTTATAGTTAGTATGCCTCTGTCACCATGCTGTGACAGAAAGTAACACAATGGTGTTAGATTGCAAAACCAAATGTCAGACGTGTGACTTCCGCCTCCCATCCCAACCGTGTGGGGCTTCGCACGTCTAGAACTGGCCGATACGACCGCTCCTTTGTCCCTAGGCTATCGAGATTGTGGACCAATCTACGAGACGAGGGTTTTCCCAGTTCTACTAACCTTAGCTAGTTTAAAAACCGGTTTAACAAAGTTTATTTGAGATCCTCATATCAGCCGCGGTGCTCTGGCATCTAGACTTCTGCCTGCGCAGTATAAAAAAATATTTTATTCTTATTACGGTAGTATATTTCTAAATGTACGCATGTGACCATATCGACCGCTACCAAGTAATTATCTGTGAATGATACACAGAAACCCTGGCAATGCGGAATGTAATAATTTTTTCCGGTTATTGCTGTTTCTTCAACTTAACGCTTATATGAAGGGTTTTCCAATAAGGACGTTAACATAAAAAAAAATAAGTTATGTGTATGGTATTGAAAATATTTTTTTATTTGTAAGGCTCATGTATGGCAATTCAAAATAAAACAGTGGCGTACCATATTTTTGTATCTCATTTAAGATATTTAGGAAGTACGTTCATACGTTCAAAGAAACTTGTTTATTGTTTTTCGAAATTTGATGACAATCTGGGCGATGGAGATGTTGCTTCTCTTACTTCCATAGCCTATATTCAATCGCCATTAAAAACTTCTATGTTAAGTTGAAGATTTGGTTTCAATATGTGGATGACACTTCCCTTCCTTATCTGGAACCACGGAAAAGAGAAACTACCAGCCTTCTTTAAACACCTAAGCAATCTAAGACCATCAATACAATTTACAAGGAAAGAAGAGAACAACAACAGCCTCCCATCCTTGGACGTTATGGTAACAAAAAACAATTCCTGATTAGAAACTACTGTATACAGAAAAACCAACACATACAAAAATTTATGTTCCAGTCATCCATCAACCACAAAGAAAGACGTAATTAGAACCCTCATAGACCAGGCAAAGAGCATCTTCAACACTCATACAGGGAAAAATTAACCCAGATACCCCTGAAACTCTTAATGTTTTTTGTTATATACTTTTGTAAACCTATTAATATAAACATATTTTCCTAGTAAAATTTTTTAGTTCCGCTTTTAGGTTTTTCTGTACAGGCCGTCGGTTTAAACGTACGGTAGCAATATAAGGTAGTAAAACTCAATATCCTTATGAACTTATAAAACTTTATTTAGAAACGAAAAAAATGTTTTAAACCGATAATAATACATTAGTTTTTAGTATGGTAAAACACATTTTTGGATGAAGTGCAACATCACACTTCTGGCATCTGGATGCTGCTTGTTTGTGGCAACACCGCCCATGTTTTCGTTGTATTGTTTGATCAAACGTGGCTGCTCAACATGTATCATTTTCTTTTCTTTCTGAGAGAAGCGTTTGACTTGCTGTGTCTTAAAAGGAGATGTTACATTTGAGGCGATTGTAACAACACTATTGTCATTCCATTAACATACAATATTATTTTGGTTCTCCTCCAAAAGATAATCAAAACTACCACGGGATTTTTTCTTGAACATACTGGATTTTTCAAGAGGGCAATCTGATAGTCTGTTTTCTCGCAGAGTTCCGGTGCATTTGAGCCCCCTGGAAGTCAGCTATGGCTCTCTTCAAGGGGTGCAAATGACTGAAATTTCTCATTCAGAGTAGAAAACATGGCCTCAGTTTCGAAAACTTATCGGTATTTTCAAGTTTGTTGTTATCATTCAGGTGCAAGTTCTGCATTATAAACCTAAGGCGATCTCGAGAAAGCGCCGAATAGACTAACTTATTTCCTGCGTCACTGTTATTTTCCCAATACATTGACCGTCAAGGAAATGAGTTGTATCCAGAGAGCAGTAATACACCAATGAAACATTTTATTTCACTGGAATGTATATCACCTCGGAGATTATGCTGAATAGCATATATATTGGAATATTTCACAACCAAGTCAGTAATTTCGTCATCTGTAAACTGAAAAAATAGTTCTAAAGGAGATAAAGAATTTTTTGGACCACTTGCGTTTACCCATCCTGGAAAATCTTGGTTGATGTCACCTTTTTTCCAAGAGTAATTTGGTTTTGATAATTTTGGTCGTTTTTGCGTAAGAAAGGTAGACAAAGGTAGGTCATCGTCGCTATCAAAATCACTCTTAACTGTAGTTTGGTTTGATCCCTTGTTTTCAAATACAACCTCAACTTCAGTCATCAGCTGACTTCCAGGGAGGTTGTTTATATCCACTTCATTTTCGTCGCCCGAATCCTCATCAGTGTTATATTCATCGTCATCAATGTTTTCAATTTCTGCCATGAAATCATGAAGTTTCAAGGGCAGCTTCCAATAGTTCCAATAACTGCAAATATAAGAAAAAAAAATCGAATAATACCGGATTTTCCTACTGTCCGTTAAAACGGACATCGGTATTTGAGGCTATATTTTTGCCGGTGAGATGCAAATTTTTAACTTATTTGTTTACAATTATAAAGATTGATGTTTTCTAAAATTACTTATTCACAAGATGGAAAAATAATATGAATAGTTTATCAGTATACTCACCTATAATAATTATCCATTGTTCACAACAAACTAAGCACCTGTTATTCCAAACACTTTCTCGCATACAGAACTCTCCCTTTAAGAGGTTGGAACAATAAATTTCGCTTAAACACGTGATTCTAACAGCGAATAACCCAACGCCATCTAACGTGGAGTGACAGAGTTTCAAATTTGAAGCGAAATATTAGGTGATTGTTATAACGGACGGTAGGGGTAGATCTAATAAGAAATAGCTACTCAAGACGACTGATAAATTAAGTTTTAAAAGAAAACACACCAACAGCAGCGGAAAGACGCGGAATAAACCACATCATACACTAATTCTATCATATGTTGAGAGAAAAGTGAAGCGATCAGAAGGATATGAAGACGATATCAAATTGAAACTAGATCTTCAATCTCTGGGATAGCAGGCCACGCTTGAAAAAGCACCACAGGAACGTCGTACATTGAGAAACACACTGGCATCGGAGAAGATTCAAGGAAGCAGCCTTCATAATAGCGAATAAAAACGTTTACAATGATCTCAGTATATAAATGAAACGAGTATGACAAACCGATTGTAAGAATCTATGAACACCCTGAACAATGGACACGTCACAACCAATTACCGCCCACGTCGTCAAACGGTATAAACAGTCAAGGAAGGAACATGTTCGCCAGTTCACCTGATGACCATTGAAGACGACATCAACCGAAACCTCATGAATAAAAGCCTACACAATGAAAGTCCAAAAAACAACAACTCAAGTTTGTTTTTTGAAATGAACTCAAGAATCGCCCCTTACTTCTGAAACATCCAGTACTTTACGTTTACAGCAGGAAATAGAGCTTATGGACAGGCCATAAGCTGCATAATTTAAATTATTAATAATTATAATTTTGCTTCTGGTAATATTTGGTTGGCATTGAGTCAAACGTATACATATACATACGCATGAATAGATCTGTGCTAACAGAAATGTTTATTTTGTTAATTAGCACTGTGTACTTTATGAGTACTGGTTGGGTGCTTGAGCTAAAGTACAAACTTGTTCATACGTTACGGCTGACTGCATTTAATGTGAGGTGGGGAAGATGTGTTTGCTAACGGCATTAGTTCGTGGAATATTCATGTCATTTTTAACAATATAACGGGTATTTACGTAGAGCACAGGTTTTCATGCTTATTTACTTTGAGTATAAATTTTTTCCCGGCGCCCCTCAAAATAGGCTACTTGACTCATATCTAATTTAATTTCAAAACGAAATATATTGATTTCAATTTTCCAACGCGCAAGATGTATATACGAGTCCAATTTGAAAAAATACACGTTTTATTTTTAGCATGAAACGGTGAAAAACTGTAGGTCAGGATATGACGTCATACAAATTGTAAAAAAAAAACGTCATCCGTACGTCACTCGTGCACTAACGTTGCCTTCTTTAAATATTTGTAAAAAAACTCCTACTCAGCGTAAAAATTTATCGTTTTCCGTTATTGAAAAAAAAACAATCATGGTCACTTGACTTGTAAAATCAAAAATTTACCGAAAATTGACACATTGGCGGTTGGTATTTTTTGGTCTTCAACCGATGTGATGCCGTAGGTAACGTTCAGCTTAAAGTTAGACGATACAATCTGCACAGTACAATGTAAGATATGTCCCGAAAATAAGGTATGCTCCAAGCAAGTCACAGTGTTGCGTATATTTATTTCCCTGAGGTCTTTGCTAATAATAATAATAAGTTTATTCACGTAACATACAAATATAAATAAAAACTAACATAGGTATACGTAAATACCCACAAAAGAATAAATTCTTGTGCGTGGGTTTTATATATATATACATATATATACATATATATTCATTTTTTTTTTTTTTTTTTTTTTATACTCCAACTACCACGAAGGCCTGAGGCCTAAGCACCCATTGGGTACCGTGGGGCTATGGGGGATACATGGGAAAGGGGGGACGCCACACGGACTCTGGCGAGGGAACACGTGTGCATGCAACATGCACACATTCTGGCTCCGCCTACGAGAACCGCCGGGTGGTACCTCCGCGTTCGACAGTCAGAGACCATCTACCACCTACGGACAATCACAACATCCATGGCCAAGAGAAACATTTCTCCTGGAGACGGGAATCGAACCCGCACAGCGCACGGCGACTGATCAGGAGACCGAAGAGTCTACTACTGCGGCCACCGCTGCTGCCTAAAACAAACACACAACATCCATGGCGAAGGCGAGATTCGAACTCGCGGCCCGGCCGGCCGGCTGATCAGTAGCACGACACTCTGACCCACGCGGCCAACCGAGGTCCCAAATAAACACATAAATGGATGCACATACACATATATTGGGTGGCCTGTCCATGTGTGGACGGAATATTACTCATAAACAAATACATTTTGAGAAAATATATCAATGGCATGTTATACATGACGTGTGAGGGCACATTTATAAAATATTAGCAATTAAACAGGGTGTCCCAATTTTGACCTACATATCAAAGTTGTTATTTAATGAATGCAATGCCTCAAATTTTATTGCATATTTGGATAAACCAATTCAAAAGAAGAAGATTGATATAGCATACTATGGGGTTTTGGTAATTAGCTACTGAGAAGTATGGTGTTTTGTCCGCCATTTAGAAATTTGGAGTGCTGAATTTTGTATAAAAAAACTTACACACCTCAGCTTTTATCATATTTGTTACTTTTTCGAATTTTCATTTTTGCTCATACAGGGTGGTCAAAAACGCAAATTGTACTTTTTCTCGAACATTTCAAATGCATCAAAAAAAGCTTATAAAAAATTCAAACTTGCACAAATATACAGGGTGATGCATTTGAAATTTTTGAGAAAAACTACAATTTGTGTTTTTGACCACCCTGTATGGGCAAACATTAAAATTCGAAAAAGTAACAAATAAGATAAAAGCTGAGGTGTGTATTTTTTTTTGATACAAAATTCAGTACTCCAAATCTCAAAATGGCGGACTGAGGGGTTGCCGAAGTGGGGTTTTTTCTAGACAAAACTTTATATTTCAGTAGCTAATTACCAAGACCCCATAGTATGTTATATGTCGAAATTGGGACACCCTGCCATTGCCCATATTTTAGAAACGTGGCCTCAAATGTCATGTATATCATCCCATAAATAGATTTGCCCAAAACGTATTAGTTCATGAGTAATATTCCGTCCACACATGGATGGGCCACCCTGTATACATACACACATATACGAGGGTATGAACGTTGGAGGGTTTTTACTATTACATTAACTTCGAATTTCTTTTATACGTATCATGTTTGCAATTTGATGTCAATTTTTTCAATTATAAATTTTTTGGTTTCAATTTTGAATTTTGTTTTATTTGAAATATTTCTTATATAATTTGGTAATATACTATATAATCTACTGGAAAGGTAAATATGACATCTTTGGCCTATACTTTTTGAGGTGAAAGGTGTTTGCCTAATGTTGTTGATTTTGTTTCTAATTTGATATAAGAGATCTAAAGGAATAAGGTTATTTCTATGGTGAAATTTATAATTTATAATTTTATAAAAAAATTGTTGCCTAGGATCCAATAGTTTTGCTTCAGAATACAACAGATCAGATGGGTATAAGAGTGGTTCATCAAGGATTGTTTTTGAACATTGTTTTTGGATAACATCTAATTTATTAATTTGGTTATTAAGTGCTCCACCCAAAGCTAATATTGACTTTCGATCATAACATGATATAAAATTTTCATTTTTTTTATCCAAATATTTGGTTAGATACTTGAATTTAAACAATAATGCTCTAAAATTGGTTATTACATGATCAATATGTATATTCCACTTTAAATGTGAGTCTAAATATGCACCTAAATAATTTATTCGGTTTGTTAAATTTATTTGAGTATCTATATTATTACAGTTAATCTGTAGGATGGTAATTTATCTCTGTGATTTGTGAATGGCATGAACATAGTCTTTTGAAAGTTAGAAGTTTAGCATTTATGTCTGAACCAGTTTGCAATTATTGTTAAGTCTCTTTCAACCTTCACTTTCAGATCATCCCACGAGTTGTTATCCAAATAAATGATAGCAGTATCGTCAGCAAAACATATGATTGTCCCTTCAGATTTTAAGCTCAGCAGGCTATTAATGTGAAGTGTAAATAATAAGGGGCCTAACACTGTCCCTTGTGGGTCACCATACGTTATCAATTTGTTAGTGCTTAAGGAATTATTTATTGGTACGCCCTGTGTTCTGTTGGAAAGGTAACTTTTCATGAGTTTATAAGCCTTGCCAATAATTCCTGAGTCGTGTGAGATTTCTGATAGTAGCAAGTGTGTGTCGAATGCTTTTGCTAGATCCAAAAATACGTACTTTGGTCCAGTAATTTGTATAATTTTGATGTCAAAAGAGAAATTGCGTCTTGGGTAGACTTGTTTTTCTGGAATCCAAATTGCTTTTCATTAATCAGGTTATGTTTATCAAAAAAATTTGGAAGTCGTGTTTTTCTAATTTTCTCAATAATTTTTGCAAAGCTGGATATAAGAGTCATAGGCCTGTAATTGTTACTATCTGTTTTTTCACCGGATTTGTGGATAGGTTTTACTACTCCTACTTTATAATCACCTGGAAATTCTCCCGATTCAATTATCAAGTTCGCTGTGTACGTCAAGGGCTTATTAATTTCGGATGATATTTTCTTTAACATTTCTGATCGTATACCAGCAAGACCTGGGCTTTTTTTATTTCTCAAACTGTGTGTGGCATTTTTCATTTCATTTTCAGACACAGGTTCTAAGAAAATCGATTGTTCTATACATTTTATAGGCGGAATATTTGCGTTAGGTTTATTTATTTTCATGTGTTTTTACATTCTCGGATGATATAATAACGATAATAATTACTATAACTTTCGTGTGAGCCAGTAGAAATCATGTCTGTATGTCCAAAAGTTTTAGAGGTTATGCTGCTGTCAGCTGATGCTTACAAATGGTACGTCGTCAAAGCACATTAATTTATGGGCCAAACATGTGGGACAGCGTTTTCGTCTGTCTAAGAAAAATATATTTCCAAATTAAAGTTTTACGCTCTTTTAGGTCTTTAAAATATAGTATT